GTGGTCCACAATGAACCCCCTATGATAATTTTTATTTCCATCTTTTGTACATTGTGGCTTGAAAAATAAATAAATAAAAAGTGAAGTTGAAAACTTGAGTATCAAGATGGTAAGAACCATATTGTCACTAGTTGTAGCTACTTGCCAGTATCTTGCTTTCGTCACTCATCATATTGAGCGTTATGCTTCCCGCGACTCCTTTAAAACTGTCTGTCTTAAAATAACGATTGACCAAAGCGGGCTAACAATGTTCCGCTCACCAGATGTCGCTATTTGTGACTGAGATAAAAGTTTTTCATTACACAATGTCATTTGATTGAAAAATTACTTTTAAATAAAAGTTTATCAGTTTCTAGAGTATTATATTAATACACAAAACAATGCGTCAGTGGTTTGCTCTTTAATTTTTTGCATATTTGTAACTCATAATATTTACCACTTTTATGAACATTTGTGGTTTAGTTTATTTGTTTTTAATCAAACGAAGATATAACTAACAGTAACTACAAAAAGAAACTTTAATGTTTACATTTTCCGAACAAATTAACTTCCCCGCTATGAAATCTGTCAAATATTATAACCTCATTTTTAAGTGGCGCTGCCCTGGAGGCAAAAAATTGTTGTTTCCCCATTTAAGCCCCGGATACACCAGGGGACATTTAGTTGCGCGACATGACGCGGCACACTCAATCTACGTGGCGACACATAATAAATAATAGTAGGTGACGATGCAACGTTCTTCTTGATTCTTGAGTTTTAAAAAAGGTACCACCACACTAGGATTTTCTCCGGTATCGTGGAGGTAGTTTACAAACATAAATTGCATGAGGACAAACATCCAGACCCGGAACAATTATTTGTAGGCTATACAAATACTTGTTCCGTGCGGGATTAGAACCTGCGGCCCCCAGCGCAACAACTCATTGCTAAACAACTGCGCCACGGATCCGTCTACGTTGCACAGTCAGTAACGGCAATATGGTCAGGAACATTTTACGTGACGCGGGACATGTTGCTTGTTCCCGGTCCGAGAGCGAGCACACGTGTCAGTGTCATGCGATAGTGTCGCGCCATTTGTTACTGGGTGTATTCGTGTGCCTTACAAGTTGCAACATAGTTTACAACTTGCAAGTAGTATGGGGAAACAAAACCGTGCTTTTCATTTTTGTTGTGGGATACTTCAAACCACAAACTTCTGGTACTATTCTACCGATCAGTTGTTTCGACACTCAAAAGGTGCACGACAAGGAAGCATAAGAATCTCCAGTCGACAAGTATGTTAATGCAATAGCAAGTCGGATATGAGGGCAAACAGCGTTCCGTAGTATTGTATCTTGTTTGGCTATGGAAGGTCCGATCCACAGACTAATATGATGCTTGCTCATGTCCGATCATTTGTAATAGTTTCAAAATCAGATGTTGACATTCGAGTAAAATTCACAAAAGATCCGTCAGACATTGTGAGATCACTTAAAATATTAAGTCCTCTTTCTTCTCGTTTTAGTAAGAAATTCCGCATCCACCACCTTCTCTTTCGCTTACGTTTCACTCCCGAATTACTACTATATATGCAGCCCTAATCGCCACAACCTCCTCGGGCGACATTTCTATAAGCACTGACTAGTGTGACCTGCAAAATTTTCCGCGACATATGTCTCGGGACTTTCCACGTAGTTGTTGAGCGATATGTTGCGCAACATGCCGCTCCTTTTGTCCCCAAGTATATCCAAGACTTTACGCTAACACTGATTAACTGTCATGGTATTGGCGGGAAACCAGTTGAATGATTTGTTTTTTTTTTTATAGAATAAGGGTGACAAAAGAGCACACAGTTCACCTGATGGTAAGTGGATACTGTGTCCCATGTACGAGTACATCTACATTGCAATGCCTCGTTTCCAGTAAAAAGGGTCTCCGGGTCTCTACACTCACCATACGAAACACAGCAGCGTTAAGCTGCTATTTTACGCTGCTGCTCTTGTTACTTGTAGTAAATTATTAAAATTCAATTTATAATCTATACAAATAAATAAAATTGAAGTGTTTGTTTGTAATGTAAAAATTATGGCTTTTTACTAAATGTAAATGAAAGTATATACGATACTTATAACAAAAACACAATTTTTAAAATTTTTGTAATCTCAGAAACGGCTGGACCGATTTTGACAGAACTTTCACTGGCAGATAGCTGAACTTAGGCTACTTTTGTTTTAGAAAAAGAAAAGAATTAGGGTTTCGCGCAAAAAAAACTAAAACCCCAAATAACACGCGGGCGAAGTCGCGAGGAACAGCTAGTATCTAATATACCTCTTCTTTTTCACCATCAATTCGTTAAAGTTCACTGTCAGGCGTGGGCCTCGTTGCAGAGAGAATGTATTTAAATATGATTGTTACGCGCAGTATAGCCATGCTGCAGTTAATTTTTGGTTGTAGCACGAATGGGTCGGATCGGCCGAGGAAGGACCACGCTCTCACAGAATACCAGCGTGAAATAGCAGCTTAATGCTGATGAGTTTCGTATTGTTACGGGCTTGGGATTCGAGACAATTAAAAAAACTGCCGAGTGAATTACCAAAATTGGCACTTTAATTACACAACACTAATTACAACTTAAAACCACACTAATATGATATTCTTGAAATTTGAAGAAGGATCTTGACTCTCCTAGTTCTGCTACTCGATACTAGAAGGCGCTAGTGGTAACTAGTGTCGCCATGTACCATTTTAGTTCTCAGGGGTGACAACGCGTCTCTCAATCGAGGAGGGATGTAGATGTCTATGGGCCACATCATCCACTTATCATTAGGTGGGCTGTGTGCTCGTTAAAAAAGCTAAAAAAGCGCTTAGTATGCTGAACGACATAGGAAACTTGACGCTTTACGACTTTGTTATAGTCTTTTGGTCATTCGGCAGTATTTTTATAGAGGCCTTTCACTGTTATCAAGATGGTACTATAGATTAAATAAGATAGAGAACACACACGTATGAACCAAGTTTTAAAGAACCTTAAAGCACAAACGTTTTTTATTTGAGGTGTGATGGCACTGTTTTATATGAGGTGGTCGCTTTCAAGCAGGGCTCGGAAATGTTATTAAAAATAACGTTTTTAAAACGTTTGGAACGGTTCCTTGTATAAAATTTTGTTCGGAACAAAAACGAAATGAGAACGTAATGTGAGAACGTAAAAAAATCGGTTTATTCCGCAGGAAGCTTACTAAAGGGATGGCGTGTGCCGCGAGGCCGCGACAAATTTAAACCTTTTTACTTAGTACATTCATTTCATTACACCAGTGATTCCAAATTCCGATGCGCTTGGTGCTAGCGGACCAATTGATTCTTGTGACTTGTATTGTGATTTGGGCGGCGGCGAAAATGGGACGTAAATGAAAAATATTATTTATTCTTATTATACCTATAATGATGAAACTCGCAAATCAAAATGTGAGATGGAAGTAGGGTAGCCATCCGTACTATAATATATAGTATCGTACTATAATATATTTCAGTCAATTGCACTATATATAATAGAAAAATAATATAGTACGAAAAATACTATATTTTACCCATAATTCCATTGTCGCACTTTTTTATATTAACTGTGACTGGAAGTCACGAACAAGTAAGTTTTACGGAAAGAATCAGTCATCAATGTAAAATGTAAAGAAGAAAGAAATAGCGCTACGTGCTCTATTTCTTTTCATTTAAATAAAATTTAATTGCAAGTGATATAGTTTAATATTGTTACGAGCTTGAGGTTCGAGACAATTAAAAACTGCCGATTGAATTACCAAAATTGACACTTTAATTACGGATACTAATTACACCTTAAAACACACTAATAATAAAACACAGTTCGCCGTTATTTCGCTTCGAAGTATTCTCTTGTATCGCCAATTCAATACTGCCCCGGTCGTGGTCTATACCGGCCTTATATAGGGCCTCAGATAGTTTCCAGAACCTTCTACTGTAGCGACATCTAGAATGTTCGAGTACATATCGGTCCCGAAATTTCTGGAAGGATCTCGACTCTCCTAGTTCTGCTACTCGACACTAGAGAGCGCTAGTGTAACTAGTGTTGCCATGTACAAGACATTAATAGTGGCCCGCAATACTTTCATTTACTCGATACTAGGGGGCGCTAGTGTAACTAGTTTTGCCATGTACAAGACATTAATAGTGGCGCGCAACACTGCCCCCTCCTAAGACATGCTCGTCCCGAGCATTATTGGCCCCATAATAACGCGCCAGTCGATCCACATGGACAATCTTAGGAGTACCTCTGGCACCTTTCTGTATCCGGTAGGTTACATCATTGATCCTTGTCACAATCCGGTACGGTCCGTCCCATTTAGCTTGAAGTTTAGGAGATTTCCCTTTGCTGCGAACTGGATTGTGTAACCACACTAGTGAACCTTCATCAAACCCCTTGTTGTTCAATTTGCGGTCATACCGTGTTTTCATCTTCTCAGACGTTTGCTGGCCCGTCTGTCTGACGTGCTCATAAATGTCATTCATTTTGTTCCGCAAGTCACTTGCATAATCGGTTATACTGCGTGGGGCATCAGGTGGTATTCCGGTGATCAGGTCTGCAGGCAGCCGCAATTCTCTCCCAAAGTTTGCGAAAGCTGGTGTCACTGATGTACTTTCGTGAACAGCGCTTCGATATGACAACAAAAACGGTTGTATGTGCCTGTCCCAGTCTCGTTGCCGTTTTTCCACAACTTTTGCTAGGTACCTCTCCAATGTCTGATTAAATCTTTCTACCATTCCATCAGATTGTGGGTGGTAAGAAGTTGTTCGTGTTTTCTGAGTACCCATAACCCGGCAAGTTTCCTGGAATATTTGAGACTCAAAATTCCTTCCTTGATCGCTGTGAATCTCTAAAGGTACTCCAAAACGACAGAAGACTTCATGAACTAGTTTATCTGCAACTGTTGAAGCTTCTTGATTTGGAATGGCGAAGACTTCTGGCCACTTAGTGAATTCATGGTTGTGATGGATTACATCACAACCATGAAATACTTGTTACCACTTTCAGTTTCTGGAAACGGCCCCGCAACGTCAATGGCTATCCTCTCCCATGGTGCACCAACATTGTACAATTTCAATGCGCCTCTACTACGAATTTGAGGTCCCTTTACAGCCGCACAACTTGTACATTTGCGGCACCAGTCCTCGACATCGTCACGACAGTGGACCCAGTAAAACCGTTCTCGGATCTTCAGGAGAGTTCGTTTAACTCCCAGGTGGCCTCCTGAACAACCACTATGGTACAGCTGTAGAACATCCGGCACTTTAGCCTTAGGGACAATCATTTGCAAATGACACCTGTCTCCCCGACCATTTTCCCATTTACGGCACAGGACTCCATCCTGAATCAGCAAGCTGTCCCATTGGGCCCAATAGCTTTTCGTGGTCGAACTCATTTCTGAGACGTCGCTCCACTTGGGCTTAGTAGCACTGGCCTTAATCCATTCCAGAATCGGCTTAATGTCCGAATCTTCCTGCTGTGCATGTTGTAGGTTGTCCTTCCATTCATTGCTGAGCTGGTCTGTCCTGAATATCCTCGCAGATACCACTTCTTTACCCTCTTGCCTAGTACAATGCTTGCAATCTTCAGGGCAAGGTCTTCTTGACAATGCATCTGCATTGCCATGAGATTTCCCGCTGCGATGTTCGATCACAAAGTCGTATTCCTGCAGTAGTTCAATCCATCTCGCAACTTGTCCTTCCGGATTTTTGAACTGCAATAGCCATTTCAGTGCAGCATGGTCAGTTCGTAAATGGAATTGCCGCCCTAGAAGATATTTGCTAAAATGCTGCAAGGACTTTACCACAGCAAGCAATTCCCGTCTTGTGACACAATAGTTCCTTTCCGGCTTTGACAACGACTTGCTGAAGTACGCTATCACAAGCTCTTGATCACCATTCCGTTGAGACAACACACCGCCAAGTCCTATATCACTTGCGTCTGTGTCAACTATGAATTCCTTGCCCGCATCAGGGTACCCCAAAATAGGTGTTTTGCTCAGACGGTTCTTGAGCTCCTGGAATGCAATATCGCAACTTTCATCCCAGCAGAAATGTCGCTTCTCCTCGGTTAGCTTGTGCAGAGGTTTGGCTATATCTGCAAAGTTCTTCACAAATCGCCGATAATAAGAGCACAAACCCAAAAATGCTCTAACCTGTGTCTTGTCTTTTGGGACCGGCCACTCCTTGACAGCAGCAATTTTCTCTGGATCTGTGCGGATACCTTCTTCCGACACTACATACCCCAAAAAACTAACTTGCCGTTTGAATAGTGAGCACTGCTTCGGACTCAACTTGAGGTTGGCACTCTGGATCTTCATGAGCACGCGTTCCAGGTTTTGAAGGTGTTCCTCAAACGTACGGCCTACGATGATGATGTCATCCAAATAGACCAGACAGGCATCTCCAATTAGCCCGGTAAGTACAAGCTCCATCAACCTTTCAAACGTTGCTGGAGCATTGCACAATCCAAACGGCATGACTTTAAATTGCCACAGACCCTTTCCTGTGGAGAATGCAGTTTTCTCCTTGTCCTTAGGGTCAATTTCAACCTGCCAGTAGCCACTTTTCAGATCCAGCGTACTAAACCACTTTACGCCTGTAAGCATGTCCAGCGTGTCATCAATTCTTGGCAAGGGATAGCTGTCCTTCTTTGTAACGTCGTTCAGGCGGCGGTAGTCAACACAAAACCACATGCTGCCGTCCTTCTTCTTTATCAGTACCACAGGTGAACACCATGGACTAGATGAAGGTTCAATAACACCATCCTTCACCATTCCCTCAATCATGGTTTCCACTTCCTTTTCACGTGCTACAGGCAATCTTCTTGGCCGCTGACGAATAGGCAATTCTTGTCCTGTGTTTATTTTGTGTTGAACTAAGCCAGTCTTTCCTATGTCAGCTTCGTTTGACGAGAAAACATTGACGTGCTTGAGTAACAACTTCTTCGCTTTGACCATTTCATTCGGGGAGAGAACGCTGCGACAGTCTTCTAAAAGTGTGGTCACTCTAGTTTGTCCATCCTTGCTGGGGGTCGATATTGGCACTGACGCAACCAATCCACTTCCTCACAAGTACCAACTAATGTGCCTTTTTCTATAATCTGTTCCTGATCACAAAGGTTCAGCACACGTACTCCTGAGATGTCGGCGGTTCTGACCAAGGTTCGAGCCACTTTCCATGGAAGGTCATTGTCTACCCTTTCCACGAGTACACAACGAAAAGTTTGCCCAGGATTCCGTGGAAGTCTAACCGGCACAATCGTTTCCGATCTCGGCGGAAGAACAATCTTCTTAAGGCTGTACACATTCCCTGGTAACGCCCCTTCCACGAAAAGTTCCTCTTGTCCACATTTCAAAACACCTTGCTTAACGTCGATCTCACAACAATTCTTCCTCATAAAGTCTAGGCCCAGGATGCAGTCGTCCATTATATCAGCCACGATGACATTATGCAGGTAGATCATGTTGCCTAGCTTCAACTCCATCTCCTTCTCTCCACGGACGGGTATGCGCTGACCGGTGGCTGTCACCAAATTAATGCGTTCTCGGTTGTATGCGGAATCCCCAAAGAACCGACTTATAAGTTGGGAACTGACAACCGTGCGAGAGGCTCCAGTGTCTATGGTCAGTTTACACGGCGTTCCGTTAACTTCGCCCTTGATGATTAGGTTGTTCCCATCACGGGTTTGTGAGATCGAAATCCTTGGGGCTCTTTTAACATCAGCCAGCACCCGCCCCGCAGTCCTGGCTTTTACTCGTTTCCCTGCTGCTGCTGGGCGGTGCTATTATCCGCAATACCCTCTTGAGATCGATCACCTTCCCTTTCTACAGTTCGTTTAGGGCAGCTGGATCGAAGATGGCCCCTTTCCCCACAGCCGTAGCACCTAGGGCTGTAGCTTTTATTGCGGTCCTGAACTGTAGCTGCTGCAACCTCCCTGACGCGGTGGGAACGATGATCCTGCCGCACGGCTTCCACCTCCAGTGCATGGGTCAAGGCGTCCTTAAGCGTATCGTGGTGCCCGAGCCTCACAGCAGCTCTGACTTCAAGGTCGCGGATGCCGTCAATGAATGTCTGCACCAGGTTCCCTACAATAAGCGCAGGTACAGACTGGTACGCTTTTCGAACCAGCTTCTCCACCTCAAGGGCCCACTGCTGCAGGTTTTCGTTACTGCGTTGCACGCGATCTTTGAGCTGCGCACGAAAGACGTGTTCCAGGTGAGCGTCGCCATATCTCGCCTCCAATGCCTCAAGGAGCTGCTCGTAAGTCACTTCCTTACCGAGAGCTTCCAGAACAGTTTAAGCCTGGTCGCGCAGGCCTAGGGTGAGAGCAGTCATGGCCTGACTTTTATTCCAGCCGTTCGCTTTCATGACAGCCTCGAACTGGATTTTGTAGGCCGACCAGGAAGAAGTCCCGTCGAACGGTGGCACTTTGAATCCACGTAGTGAAGGTGTTGTAGCTACCACGGGAGCTGTAACTCCATCCCCAATTTTGAGGTCGTTCAGTGTTTTCTTCACGTCAGCCATCACATTGTCAACCCGATTGTACACTTGGTCGATTCGGGTTTCAGCTTCCGACAGGCGGTTGTCATATTGAGCAACCTTATCCTTCACCTCACTTATTTCTTTCCCGAAGGTAGCGTGAAGGTCCTTCATGAGAAGTATCTGCTCTTCCTTATCGCGTTTGAGCTGCTCTTCCAACCGACGGCCCTGTTCCTCCTGTTGACGGGTCTGTTCCTCCTGTCCGCGCTGCAGCTGCTCTTCCAACCGACAAGCCTGTTCCTCCTGTCGGCGGGCTTGTTCCTCCTGTCGGCGGGCCTGTTCCTCCTGTCGGCGAGCCTGTTCCTGCAGCATCGTCATCAGAGTACCTAAGTCAGGTGCTGCAGATGCAGGAGCTGCTGACGGGCCGGCCTCCGTGGTCGGCAACTGGCCTGCCGACGTCTGTGACGTTGCACCACCAAATCGTCTCTGGTCCGTCTCCTGTTGGCGTTGACTTCGGGTACGGATACCCTCGGTGTCGTCTTTAGGTAAAATCGGCATATTTGATCCCACTTCTGACACCAATTGTTACGAGCTTGAGGTTCGAGACAATTAAAAACTGCCGATTGAATTACCAAAATTGACACTTTAATTACGGATACTAATTACACCTTAAAACACACTAATAATAAAACACAGTTCGCTGTTATTTCGCTTCGAAGTATTCTCTTGTATCGCCAATTCAATACTGCCCCGGTCGTGGTCTATACCGGCCTTATATAGGGCCTCAGATAGTTTCCAGAACCTTCTACTGTAGCGACATCTAGAATGTTCGAGTACATATCGGTCCCGAAATTTCTGGAAGGATCTCGACTCTCCTAGTTCTGCTACTCGACACTAGAGGGCGCTAGTGTAACTAGTGTTGCCATGTACAAGACATTAATAGTGGCGCGCAATACTTTCATTTACTCGACACTAGGGGGCGCTAGTGAACTAGTTTTGCCATGTACAAGACATTAATAGTGGCGCGCAACAATATGAATCTAAATTGCTCAGATTCCTATAATGATTTTAAAGGTATAGATCATTGATGGCCAAAGCGGAGAGCAATAATACTTATGTATAAGGAAAAATACATAAAGATTAAAAATAAATGTTTACATTTTCCCTGAATTTCGCAAAAGTGTTATATTTTTGCATTTTTTTTGGTAAAAAATGGTGACAACCCTAGACGGAAGGATGTCGTAGTTTTTGTAGATTGTAAATTTAGTCTACATGAGAGTCAGAAGCACATGAGTTTAACTACGAGCATTGGGCATCGGCATCGCTAAGTTTATTTATTTCTGATAATAATGAATGACTCAACTGGACTGGATGTGTATAATTTTTGTTTCGTATTGCGGGCTGACTTCCCGATACGTCGGTGCTTCAAACATATAGCTGACGTGAAGCACCGACGTATCGGGAAGTCTGCAGTTTGTGAACATGTTCAAGATCATCCCCGCCATTACATTAGATTTGATAGACCACAAATCGTCGCTAAAGAACACCGATTCCTCCCAAGGATGATTCGCGAGGCTATTGAAATTAAAAAACATCCTAATTTCAATAGAGAAAATGGATGGGTGCTGCCATTTGTTTGGGATCCCATAATTAATAAAATCAAATCCAAATCCAAGTATACCACTGCTAGACTTAAAGATACTGTAAGCTCATTCTGCGTAAATCGAACCAAAAATTAATATTAAAATACTGAAGGCAGCCGGGCTAACTATGACATTGGGACGTCATACACCTCAGTCCCCCGTGACCACGGGTGCTGGAAAGCACCCGAAACGTCGGGAATATAAAAATAAATTAATATACGCGATAAAATCCGTAAATTTGGTTTTATTTAAATGTGAAAAGCTGTTTAAAATGGTTAAAAACGTTTTATTGAACAAGAACGATTTAAAATTTCGTTCTCTACAGAAACGTTTTTATTATGATTCCGTTCGAACATAAACCCGTCAGAACCCAGCGACAGTATAGACCCTGACAATTTTGTTGTGGCTAAAGGAGTATATGATGTTTCAAATAATTCGTCAAAATAAAAAGTATTCAAAAGAGATACTGTTGAATCCAGTTATGATATAGATAATTATAGCAATATAGTAGAATTCAAATCGTGAGGTTTGACCCCAGATGATTATGTTGAACAGAAAGCGGTTCATATTAATTTTGATGAAAAGCCATATAGTTTGAATACTCTAGACTTTACCAAGTGTAAAGAGGATGTTGAACCCACTTGTCTATCAAACTTTGAGAGAGATGCCATATCATACTGTACTGGGCCTACAGTCCAATCAACAGATACACAGTCATCCAGTGAAGCTAATAGAGATGGAAAGCCCAGTGAAGAGCAACTTATGAAAGTGTTTCATGTCCTTTCCAAAACTATGCCTGCACTATTTGTGAAGCCTCTGGATTATTCAATTTACCATCCAAATATGATTTTTGTTAACAACATCAGAGGTATCACAACTGTAGGTTTATGTACGGCAGGTGGCACTACTTCGGACAGTGGGTCATCTGAAATTTGCTTATGTTAACTTTGAAGTACTAAAAATAATAGCACATCCAGAAGACTCTTCTATCAAAATGAGGTGGCGAATCAGAGGCATATCTGGTTTCAAAGTGTTCTTTATGTTCTGGAAATACAAACTATGGGATATGAAACAAGTTTTTAAGGATCAAGAAATGTGGTACGACGGGTTCTCAACATTTTATGTAGGAGGTGATGGCTTTATACACAAAGTTATAGCTGACAAGGTAATGCCAGACCAAGACAGCATTATAGACGATGAAGAAAAGGCACCAATAGCAGCTAAAATCGTGCTTCTAATTGGGCTCATTCCTAGGACTTATCTGTGACATATCACCTTACTTCAGCTCATCATCAGGAACGGCAGAAGCGACTCCGTTACCATTTAAAGTTCTAGAATAATTAATTCAAACTACAAATATCCTCGCTTGTGATATCTTGAAAGTATTTAACGATTATTTAAACGAACGATCGAAAAATGAAAATATCTAAGACTTTTCTTGTGGCATACTTAAAATCACTTACTAGCGTCCCTTTATGAAAGAGATAATCAGAAAACAAACACTTGACACCTAAAAATCTTGTTTGTACCGTCTGTTGCAGTATAAGTTTAATTTCTGTACAATGAATGAAATTCTTGAGATTCGAAGTTTGAAATGTGGTAAGGCTGCGGGACTAGACACAGTTACTGCTGAAATGGTCAAGTATGGTGGGCCTCGCGTCTGGGACAGCTTTCATCTGCTGTGCAATTTGTGCTGGCGGACGGGGGATGTCCCGGATGATTGGCGATCCGCAGTCATTGTGCCTTTATATAAAGGTAAAGGTTCACATTTTGACTGCGGGTGCTATCGGGCGATCAGCTTGACCAGTTTAGCAAGTAAAGTTTACTCGAAGGTT